GATGGATGGACAGACAGATGGCTGGATGGACGAACAGATGGATGGACGAACAGATGGATGGACAGACAGATGGATGGACAGGACACCCTGTAAATGTGCTCTTTGTAACATTCACCTCTCAGATGTTTTGTATTTATTGTTCAGATGTGAATGAATTTATAAACCAGCACGAGTTTTTATTTTTAATCAATGATTTAACGGGAAGAACAAAACTATAAACTTCATGTTTGACTCATAAAAATGAAAGAAGAACTTGAAGGTTTCTTCGTCTGTGTGGTTCAGAGCCGGGGTCTGGACGGTTTCGATGTCTGGCCCGCCATCAGTGAGGGGGCGGAGTCTCCTCGTCAGGAGATCCTCCACAACATCAACCCTCTGCACCGACGGCCTGTTGCCAGCTTGAGCTGGGACGACACGGAGACGAAGCGGCCTGCAGGTACCGAGCCGACACAAACTACGACTCAGGAGTCGCTGTTTAAATATTTCATGTCACAAAATCACTGCTGAGCGAAGTGAAGGTCTGAATTCAAACACAGCTGAGTAAAGAAACGTTCCTCTGTAGTCTCTTCATCTGCCGGTCATTTAGGTTTTTATTAACAGTGTTTTTTTGTGTGTTGCCAGATGTTCTGATTAACTCCCTCAGGCTCAAAGTGCACCATCTCTGCACTCCATTAATGTGACCCACGCCGGCAGAATGAGTCACGATGAGGAATTTATCAATATTGATTTATTGTTTTTAAAAATCTCCGTTTTGAAAATCTTCATAATTATCTCGTTTGTGGAAATTTGATACCTGGCAACAGGCTGGGTTTGTTTAGAGCTCCAGTTTGAAAACTCAATTTCTGTTGGAGCGACTCATCAGGAGTTCCAGCTCTAAAGTCAAAAAGGGGGATCCCCAAGTTTCACAATAACACTTTATACAAAGGGATTTCCCCACGCTAAGGCAGCCAGCAGTGGATAAATGTTCAGTTTAAAAAATATATATATTAAAAGGGTGTTTTCTGTGAACGTATCGTTAGAAAACTTTGATTTAAAGGTCGATTAAGAAGATTAAATGCTGTTTTAGTTACTGGGATCAATGGAAGCGGTTTTATTTATTTATTTATTTATTACAGAAATTTTAATATTTTTACTTTTTTTGCACTGCAGCCTCATTCTGACTCATTTTGTCAGCATGGGTCACAAATATGTGGATGCTGAAAGTTTTCCTTGTGTCCGGCTCGTCATTAAGCAGTGATGATGGGTTCTGAAGCCCGATCAGCTGAGAACCACAGATTTAAGATTACAGACTCCAACTCCTAAAAAATGCAAAATACAGTAATTTCCAGACTATTGAGCGCACCCAAATATAAGCCACGCCCACTAAATAAAAAAACAATAATAATTTTGCACATATATAGGCTGTATTTATATATGCCGCAGGTGTCCATGTTGTAACGAGATATTTACAGTTTTTTAAACTTTATTTTTATTATTTTTTTGAA